ACAATCCTAAACCAGACTCACTTTAATGAATATTTTTGGAATTGCAAATTCTCACAACATTGCCTTCGGATCTTAAAATTCTCATACAGCACAACTTTGGAGATTTTGAATTATTCAACCTAACTAAATCTAACTGGTGAGATGTATTAGTTCACTTTTTTTTTTTAATCTTTAAAAGTTAAATGGATCGCATGTAATATTTTCCCAGTTTCTAAACTCAACAAAGATAGTGGTTAAGGTACCTTTGCAATGTAAGTCTTAGGTTAGAGGAAAAAAACCGAGTTAACTAGATGAATGCTTTTATCTATTAAATAGACAAGATTACAACTCCAAGAGCTAGAAGGACATCAATGAAGCATAAAGGGCCTGGAAATTAGCTGGTAGCATTTGTTTCCAAAACTAATTTCAAAGTTATTCTTTTTTTAGTACCAATGACCAAGGAAAAGCAGGGAAAAACAGTACTTTTTAGAGTGAACTCAATTCTCTTGAAAACGTTTGACTGCACTGCTTCCATTTAATCAACAATTCTGTGGTCAAAGGAGAAAACAGTGGAAGCCAACACATCTAACCATCATGATAGTTTAAACATTAGGCACCCCAATTTCCTACTTCACTTCTTGTATGCTTGCTTCTCCAACTACTTTTAAGTAAGTCATTAATGTGCTTCCCTTTCAATAATGAAGCCGAATGGCTCCTGAATGCCTATCTGCTGGCCACACAACTCCCTTTCCTCTAGAAGGGGAATAGATCAAGGTGACACAGAATGATGATCCACCAAGACTGAAGGGTAGAAATCTTGGTGGGAAAAGTATTTTTTTTTTTTAATTTTCTTAAATCTTCTGCTGGTGGGGCTGTAAACTAGTACAACCTATATGGAAAGTACAATAGTATGGAGATACCTCAAAGAACTAAAAGTAAAACTACCATTTGATCCGGCAATCCCACTACTAGGTATTTATGCAAAGGAGAAAAAGACATTCTAAAAAAAAGACATCTGTCCTTGAATGTTTATAGCAGCACAATTCACAATTGCAAAGATGTGGAAACGACCCAAGTGCTCATCAATACATGAGTGGATTAATAAAACGTGGTATATGTATACCATGGAGTACTATACAGCCATAAAAAATGGCAAACCCCTTGTATTAACCTGGATGGAACTGGAGACGATTTTTTAAGTGAAGTATCACAAGAATGGAAAAACAAACACCACATGTACTCACCATTAAATTGGAACTAATCAATCAACACTCACGGGCACATATGGAAATAACATTCATTGGAAATCCAGCAGGTAGGAGGGGGGAGGAGGGGATGGGTACATTCAGACATAACAGGTACATTGCACACTATCTGGGGGATGGGCACACTTATAACTTTGACTCAAGAGGTACAAAAGCAATTTATGTAATCAAAATGTTTGTACCCCTATAGTATTCTGAAATAAAAAAAAACAAAAACAAAAACAAAAAAACCTCCCCAGGCTCGCTCGCTCGCTCGCTCTCTCTCTCTCTCTCTCTCTCCCTCTCTCTCTCTCTCTCTCCGGAGCAGAATTTTAGAGTGATAAGGCTTAGGACTGGGTCTGCATCAACTTGAGAGCCAGAAGGGATAAGACAGAGACCAGAGTAGAAGGCAGACAGATGCTGGCTGCCTGGGCCTGCCTGGGACTCAGGTTTGGAGGGAGAAGGATGGAGAAGAGCCAGGTCATTAGGACAGGAGGGTGGACAGGACTTTGTAGCAGAAGCCAGGTGTAAACAGCATACATTTGGCTGCCTAGGAATGTAAGTTTCACAGTAGGCAGCAAAATGGGAAGGATCCTGCCAAAGGAAGAGGAAACCCTTTATAGGAGGCTCTACAGTACAATGATTTCTTTCATTCTTTGCAAGGTTGCAGCAGGCAGTTTTTTCATTTCAGTGTACTGGCTGTGAACAGGAAAGTTAAGACTCAGGGAACAGGGAAGCTTGGCCCTCACTTTCTGGGAGTCTCATTCAGGATTCCAGTAGGAATACGTAGTCAGTCAATAAAATTGACAAAGCACATGGAACATGTGAGCATATCTAAGCATCTGAGGAACCGTTTGAGGAAACAGAATGTGCTCCTCTTCCTTCCTGGAGTTAATACGTGTAATCAGAAGGACAACAATTAAATTAAAAGAACCCGGAAAGAGATATTAGCAATCAAATCAGCAGAGAGGAGATGGAAAAAACAAAGTGTAGGAAGGGTTGGTTCAATGACCCAACCTATCAATAATCCAATTGTATTATTCTAAAAGTCTTCATTAAGGAGATTAAATCAGGATCTATTTTGAAAAAGATGAAATAAGGCGACCTGACTTAAGAGGAAGAGGTAGAATATTTCAGACAATGGCTTCAAAGTGGGTAAACAATAATAATAGGTAACGTTAAATGCACATACTTATTATGTATCAAGTCCCGTGGTAAGTGCTTTGCATACATTTTTCTCTTTTGATCCTCCCAATAACCCTTAGAGGATGATACTCCTATTATCCCAGTGAAACCGTGATTCAAACCTGGGACATCCTGTTTGCAGAGGAAAAGCTCCTAAATACATGTTGTACTCTCGAATAGATGACTCCTGTCTGTAAGCAGAGAGAAATTTGTGGTTTGCTGTAACTGGAACCCTGGCCCCTGACAGAGGCTTTATAGGACACAGGATCTGTTATGTCAGGAATCTATCTGGAGATATAAAGCAAAGCCTATCACCAAGAACTTTACCATGATTCAAGAGGCAACCAGGTATCGCCTCAGAGTTTGGACAATGATATATTCAAACAATCCAACAACAGATGAACATTGTTTTGTGTGAGACATATTAGAAGGGGAAAGGCTTGGGAGATGACAAGGAGTGGGGAAAGAAGTGTACCCAGCAGTCCAACACACCCTGGTTAGTCAAGATGCATCCACGCTGGTGGGAGGGTCAGGGACTACATGGGCAAAGTCAGAAGGTCAGGGTTAGCTTTACACTTGTTTATTCACATAGATGGCAAATGCAAGCAAATTAATATAACAGGACTCTTGGGGAGAAAGAACAAGATACACAATGGTTACCAACTCCTCCATCCACAGTTAACAGGCAGAAAGGAAAAAGCAAAGTAAGGCATAAAGAATTTGTTTGTGAGGCATAAGAAGACTTCAAAAAAAAATGTTATCCTTTAAACTGAGTCTGGAGCAGGCTGAATCAGAAATACAATGTGAGTCATGAATGAAATCTAAGCCTTCCTAGTAGCAACATTAAAAAAGTAAAAAGAAACAAAATTAGTTTTAATGATATATTTTCTTTAGCCCACTATGTCTAAAATGTTATCATTTCAACATGTAATCAATATAAAAATTATTAATGGGACATTTTACATTCTTTTTATTGTACCAATCTTCAAAATCCAGCACGTACTTTAACTTTACAATTATAGCACATTTCAATTCTAGTGCTGTACCAGGCTCATGTCTAGTGCTCAATAGCCACATGTGACTAGTGCCTACTGAACTGGAAAGCACAGGTCTAGAGTGTATTTAATAATAAAATAATGGTCACCGGTATCAAGAAACACCAAAAGGTTTAGAACAGAACTACTGGATTTGGCTGGAAATCTACTAATGAATTTGGCAAGATAACGTTTAGAAAAGCAGCAGCTCCACTATCTTACTGAGGAAAAGTTGAAATTAAACTACTTGGTCCACATACCATCAGAAGAATTATAATTCTTATACAGAAAAAGAGAAGACAAGCATACATAGCAGTTCCATGTTGTGCTCCAGCTCTACTGTCTCCTCTGAGTCCTTGAGAGACTCTGCCCTCAATAGTTAAGTGCTCCAAGTATCTTGTTTATTTAGTGGTAGATGCAGGACTTTTTCCAAAGCAAATGACCATCCGCATCAAATAAAACCCAAGTTACCTCCCCAACTCTTGGGAGAGGGAGGAGAAAACTGACCTCACCATTCATTACAGCCTGAAGTGTTGCCACATGTGAGTTGTAGGTACTTACGGCTCTCAACGAACTGGCCCACAAAGCTTCTGTCTGCAGGTACTTTCTCTTTGTGGGTCAGTTCAGCCTAGCAAGGAGTACACAAGTCTGAAAAAAAGGTAGTCTGGATTTAAATTCCAGTTCTTCTAATTGCCAGGCAAGTTGGACTATAACACAAATATCTATACTGAAGGTGCTCTAGAAATCAATCTGAAAAAACACCATGTTAACCTCAAATAACAGCTTACTTAATTTGAAATTTCTTTATGTCAATAAAAGCATACAACTGCATACTTTATTTTGCTTCAATGTGGGCTTGAATGGCAGACAGAAAGCAAACCATATTTACCAAGTTTTTGTCCATTGACCAAACTTAAAGATGTCACTATATATGCTATATAATCTAAATATGCCATATAATGTACTATATATCCTATGTTACTAGTATAATAATACTATGTACCATACATTATATATAACTTACTGTGGTATATAGTATCTCAGCTCCCTCTGAACAAACATGCATACGTTTTTCTCTACATGCCACTGCAGTCAGCATCACTCTCATTCTTAGCCAACTTCAGTGTGTGAACCTGTATATTTGTTTATAATGTCGCCGCTTGCAGCCAGCCATAGGCAGTGAAGCATGTTTCTGCTGGATCTTACTGACGGACTGCTGCTTATCGAACCTATTTCCACACAACAGCTGTGAACCCAAGCATATTTGCCATTCAGTTTTATCCTTTGGCACCAACTTAGAGGTCTCAAGACTCGGTACCACCAAATTCAGATCCTTTGTTTTGTCCCAAACCAGACCAGAATATATGTTTTATAGAGTGTTATAGCTACAAGACTATCATAGCACAGGAAGATGTACCAGCATGTTGACTGATCATTGTTTAAAGTTAAAGAGTGAATAGAGAGAAAAACAAAGGACTAATCATTTCCTTCTCAAACAGACAAAAGAAAGGGCCTGAAATGAATAGGATAGGGAAAGTCAGCCAGCCCATATACTTACCTGCATTGGAGCCAGTCAAATTATAACGTGCATTCAGCTTTTTGATGATGTTTTCGTGGATTTGGTACCACTCACTCTCTGTGTTACACCTATGAAAACATTAACACTGTAAAGCTTTAATGATATGTTAAATATGCATTAATAACGACACATTGATAGTACACCTGCCTGTTTTATTGTGATCACTTCAATGTACTTCCCTAAACCTCCCTGGAATCACCAACAACCTGCTGCAATCAATCAGTTCTAGCATGGCTGTCCCAAGACAAGTAGGAATGACCATATCTGGGAATGCCTGGCCACCTGCCTCATGGCCGAAGCAGCTGGGATAAACAACTCACAGATTACAAGTGCCCCAAAAACAACAAAAAAAATAAATCTCAGAGAACAGTGCCTACAGTAGAAAGGCAGTGCAGACTAAGAGTTTGGCTCCCCAGATTCAAATTCTCATTACTAACTGAGCTGTGTTCTTTAGGTGAGTTATTTATACTTGCCCTGACTTCTCTACCTGTGAAACGGGTAATGTACCAGAACATTAAATAAGCACTGGCTTGGGATACTGCCTGGCATACAGTAAATGCTCAACAAATGTTATTCTCATTATTGAGTCTCTGCTTAGCGTAACATGACCAGGTTTGGCCAGCATCAAGATGCAACAAATTTGCAACAAATTAAGCAAAATGAAATCAATGTTAACACAGCTTACATTGACTAAGGCTGGCAGGATTTACCAAAGAATGATAAAGGTACTCTCTTCAGATCTTCCACATCTGGGAGCAATGGCATCTGTCCATCTTTTCACAGCTATCTGTACCTCTTCTCTTAACTCTTACCACTCACTAGCTCATCTCTGTTTACGTGGTGTAGTTCACCTAACTAGGCTGTTAATGTTCTCCAGGATTGGATCTAGGACTGGCTGATATCTGAGTCTCCTTCAGTACCGTGAATGTTGTGGATGCTTAAAAAACTTCAGTTGCATGAATAAACGGAAGGGTGGATGTCCCTCTGCCTGGTAACTCCTGATGATTCGTAAATATGTGGGTCTGCTCTTCATCTTTACTGCCCCTACTCCTCCAGTTAGGCTGGGAGAACATCCCTCATGTGGACGTGTTTGTAAATTCACTATTATCTTTTCTTTTATTTGCCATGAATGCTCCCTTCCAGGAGTCCTGAATATAAAGATTCTATTCACTATCATTCAAATCTGCCATAGAACAGATTCTTTTTCCTAGAGATCAAGTCCAAGGCGATAATTCACAACTATTTGCTTACATATTTATTTATTTTATCACTACAGGTTTTTCCAGGATGAACATGATGGAGATTATTTTCAAGCCAGTTAACAGTGGGATACCAAACTGAGCACTGACTCTTAGAAGGCCGGAAAATTAAGATGGAAAGAAACCATCCCACCTGCCCAGCTGTAAGACACCAAATTGCCATTTAGTACATTCTGCCTCCGGTTTTCTTATTTCAGCCCAGTGGGGAAGGAAGAAAGATGGCTTGCTTCCTATTAGATAGTTAAGTGACTCCAGAATTCATGCTTTTAGCCTACAAACCTCAAAAAACCAAAACAAACAAACAAAAAACAATAAAACCTCCTAAAGTATGTGACTGAAATATCTTGTAGGCTCACACATGTTATTTGTTATTGTTCTTATTTGAGTCCCAGATGGGCTAGGGATTCAGTCACCTTAACAAGGAGAAATTTCTTCTAAATTGTTTCTAACAGGCACTTTCTTAAAATGTTTTCCTAAATCCACAGTGACTGTTTTGATTGCTTAGTGTTCCTCTTGAAACACTAACCAATCTAATTCGCTGAACTGGCATTTTTAAGAGATTTCTCTTCCAACAAGAATTACCCAAAACCTTATTTGATATTTAAGAAAAAACAAATAATAAAAACCCCCCAAAGAGCAGAACAATTTATTTTTATGAGCGTGAGTGTATCCCATCGGCAGAGCTGGAATTGATGGGTCTTGTTCAGCTGACGGCATAATCCAGGGTGATGCGTGTGACTGTCGGTCCCCCCGTGTTCCCAGTGGCGGGATAAATCCAGCACTCGCTACCCTCACCCGGAACTGGAAAGACTACTCTAAGAAATGATGAGACTGTGAAGAATTTTACTTTTCTAAAAAAGCAATGCCACAGAACAGCGGCAGCATCACGTCACTAGGCAGCATTGTGAAAATACATCCAGGAAGATACAACCTCAGAGCTCAGGTTCTGGAGTCTGGACTTCAAATCTGGTTCCCTTTCTTATTAGCTAGGCGACTTTGGCTAGTTTTTTAACTCTCAGTTCGCTTATGTGTAAAACTGAGCTAAGAGCATCTGCTTGCTGGTTTTGTTCTGAAGATAAAGGGACATGACACAAAGTGCTTAACACAATTCCTTATACACAGTAAGCACACATTAAAGGGTGGCTATTATCAGTCATTAGTACTTCCAATAAATTATGTTTTATGACCAGCAGGAGAGTGTGGAAAGAAGATCATCATGGATTTAAGCCCAACCATTGAAATCGAGGGTTGCCATGTGATAAAAGGAGTAACAAGTTCTACCACCATTAGTTTCACCAGAACTTTTCAAGTTTAACACCAAGGACACAGGCTTCATCCCTCTTAAAAGGGATAAAGGGTCCTAAACCACAGACCAAAGATAAATCTTTGTCAACTAATTACTGAATGTGTTGCATAGGTTCCACTGGGTGGAGAGTAGATAAATCCATGAAACCCAGCAGCAGTGGTCAAAAAGCAATTTGAGTGTATGTCCCATAGGGAGTAGGCCAGTTGTGTTACTGCGACCTATGAAAAAACTATTGGCATATATTGGATACATCAGCACAGTCTCTGGAATGGAATAAAGCAAGCTCATTCACGGAGGTGGCCAGCAGCCTGGTCCTCAAACTGGGAACATGGAAAGCCAGTGCTCTGAGGTTGTTGCTGTGTGTCAGCTCTCAATGACAGACCTACAGGGAGGCAGTGATGGTGGGGTGACACAAACCCATGTACATTTTAAAAATCATTTCACTTAGGGTTTGGAATATATCGAGTGACTTTCTTAGTAGGGTATTTTGGATTAAACTCTGTCCCCCAACAAAGGTAATGTTGATGTTCTAACACCCAGTACCCTCAGAATGTGATTTTATTTGAAACGAAGGTCTTTAAACAGGTATTCAATTTACAGTGAGGTATTAGGGTGAGTCCCGACCTAATATGATTATATCCAAAAAGGGGGGGGGGTGGATTTGGGCCGAGAGACAGCCAAGAACACACACAGAATGCCACGTGAAGATGAAGGCAGAGATCAGAGTAATGTATCTATGACCCGTGGAACACGCAAGACTGCCAGGAAGCCACCAGGAGCGAGGAGACAGGCATGGAGCAGATTATCCTGCATGACCCTCAGAAGGGCCAACCCTGCTGACACCTTGATCTTGAACTTCTAGCCGCCAGAACAGTGAAGCAATACATTCCTGTGGTTTAAGCCACACAGTTTGCAGTACTTTGTTATGGCAGGCCCAGCAAACTTACACATAGAGCTAGAGGGAAATCATCTGAGCTTCCCCTTTCCCAATTCTAATTAATTTATATTAAAAAGTATTTTCACTTTCTAAGAACAAATTAACTGTCTGAAGGTAAAACATGCTCGGTTTATGAATTCAAAGGAGGCACTCTCCATGCCAGTCTATCTAATTGCTAAGCTGTCTGTATTGACTGGTTCTCAGTTTCGTAATTCCTCTGACTGGCAAATCACGTGTGGGCTCATCCTCAGCAAGCGTGCAGATTACTGAGGTTGTGAGGAATGGCTCATAAACCTAACTCAACCACTGCTCTTGTTACCCACGGAAAGTAGCACTCCCTCAAGTAGGATCCACATGCATCCCTGTGCCCACCCCAGCCCCTGCCAGAGGCACGTTTCTTACATGTACACTTTCAAGATGAGGTCGTCCTTTGTCTCTCCCGCTAGCAGGTCAGCGATGCTAAGGACCGCACAGCCAAAGGGTCGCCGGTACTGAACACTGCAGGCGTTCTTTTTTTCTCCTGCTCCCATTCGACCTGCCCAGGTAAAGAGCAAACACGACCCATGGAGCTATTTGATTAGATGCTTCTTAAATAGAGACACAGACAGCTACAAGATAGGCCATATGAAACATAACTGGATGATGAAAAGGACACAGGTTGGGGGGTAGCAGAAGATGTTGCTTTAGTGCTGGACTCTTCTCTCCAACCCCCTAACCGTGTGACCTTGGGTAAGCAACTTAAAGTCTGGACATCAGTTGCCATCTGTAGAACACAAAGACTGGGACTGATCCCATGTTTAGGAACCATCTCCCCTGCCCCTGGAAAGTTCTCCTAGGCATCCCAGGAAGCAGTAATCATGCCTATTTCATTTTCTCTGTTTAAAAAAATTCCATGTTCAAAAAACCACTTAAAAATGTTCACCTTTGGCCGGGCGCGGTGGCTCACGCCTGTAATCCTAGCACTCTGGGAGGCAGAGGCGGGCGGATCGCTCAAGGTCAGGAGTTCGAGACGGGCCTAAGCAAGAGTGAGACCTCGTCTCTACTAAAATTAGAAAGAAATTAATCGGACAACTAAAAATATATAGAAAAAATTAGCCAGGCATGGTGGCGCATGCCTGTTGTCCCAGCTACTTGGGAGGCTGAGGCAGAAGGATCGCTTGAGCCCAGGAGTTTGAGGTTGCTGTGAGTTAGGCTGACGCCACGGCACTCACTCTAGCCAGGGCAACAGAGTGAGACTCTGTCTCAAAAAAAAAAAAAAAAAAATGTTCACCTTTGAAAGGAAGAGGTTTGAGATTGCCTGAAGTATAGCAAGTAAGCACAGGTGATCCAAAGAGCGTGCTTCTGCCTTAGTGCTCAGGCTGTTTATAACTTGGTCGTTCACTGAAATTGTCTGGGATGGTTTTGACTATTATCAAGTTTTAACTTATTTAAATTGTCACATACTTTAAAATATGATATTGATATACTGTTTTAATTTATTATTAATTTATTATTGGTATTTAATTATCAATGGATTATTTTGAAGACAAAAAGCAAGAAGTACACCAAAGTTGAAATATAACAAGTTAATATGGAGAAAAATAATGAAAAAAATCTGCAAATTTGTCTCCAGATGCTTATCAAGAAATTGATAAACTGTTTCCATCTGAGCAAAATTCTCCTGTGACACATCAAGATGTCTCCGGCAGTTACCAAATTCATGTTAAATAGAAAAAAAAGGATAGCAATATCCAATTTGGCTTTTACTCCTCAGTAATAAAGGAAAACTACCTATGCAGTATGTCACTTTCAGGAAAATGCTTACAAATAACAGCCGGAAAGCCTCTTATCTGTTAGAATCAACACTTTTTTAAAATGGCCAAAATAAGTCAGTTGCGTTTAGATGTATAAAATGGTAAAAATTCAAAATATCAGGTTTTCATGACCTGATGCTACATATGTGGCTAAATTTCAAGCTACATAATTTTAATATACATTCTGCCCGTAAAGTGAATACTTTATGTCATATTAGAATTTAATTATCAATCCTCTTTTTACTTATAGAATTGATTTAAACAAATTTAAAACCTTGGTCACTTGTTAAATGGAAAAAAAAGACCCAGTTTATCTCTATTTTGAATATTATTACAGTACATACTAGAATGAAATACATACTTCAGTCTTTATCAATATCATGATTTTAAAATATAATTTTTCCCTCTTAATCATTTCCTTGTAAATACAAGACCACAAAGACAAAGTCATTAGAAGATTTCTGGGTGGAACACTTCAAAGTTATTTAACATAGGAAAAGAAGTTCATTAGTAAAATAAAGAAACTTAGGACAAAGTCCTAAGGACTTTGCTAGCTCTAAGTTCCTACAATTTATACAAAAGCATGGCACATATATCAGTCCTTTTTTTTCTTTTTAAATATCCCCTTCACTTAGAACTGCACTAAAAAAAATTGTGAAGGAGGGATTGGCAAAATAAGGGTGATAGGAGAAGAATTTTCTCAACCACTTGAGCAGACTCTCCAGAGAGGAGTCTGTCCCTCTCTCTCTGACGGCTGGGAAGCTGAACTCCCAAACCTCCGCAATACTCAAGTCCTCAAACATGCAAGTTTAAGTTTTCTTTCCTGGCTGTGTGGGTACCATGGCTTTGGTCAAATTACAATACTGAAAAGAAAATACGATGCCAGCCCTGGTGTTCCCAACTCTAGGATTAGCAAGAATTCACAGTTTGGTCAGATTTCTAGGAACGTTGTCTCAGCAGGAAGGAAGGTAGGAGGAATGTGAAAAGGTCAAAATATTGAGCAACCAATCAAAAGACAAAAGGGAGGCACAAAAGTTGAAAGAACTTAATAATTGGGTTGGCAAGGAAGATATAAAACTATTAATATCTCTTTTTTTCCTCCTCATCTTTCCAAAGATCTGGGCTTAAATTCCCAGAAGCGAGGTGCTATTATTGTTCTTGCTTTCTGCAGCCAGTGAAGGTCAGTGTGCCCTTTTCCTATTAAAACAAGTACAAGGGACAGTCTATAAAAAGTAGGAGAAGTATCTCTCTCTAATAGACAATGATCTTCCACTCTTTGATTTCACTGCAGCTGTGGAGCTGGCAGACTAAGTCTTAACCTTTCTTAGAGTGTCTTACCTTAATCTCATTTCTCCTCAATCTCAAAATGTTGAACCAGCAAATTTTTTTTGCAAGTATTTGTTGCAATGATTCCAGAGAGGTATTGATTTGACCAAAACTGGGGATAAGAGTGGGGAGATAATTTCTGATTCAACATTCATTCTGATGACTTAATGACTACAAAAGCCTTAATAAAAAATACAATCATGAATCAAACACTATTTATCTGAATGGCCACTCTGTGATGGCTAATACTACTGAGGTGGCTTCTCTGGCATAATGCTATGAGTGAAGGCCACAGGCCAGATGGGCACATACTCATTCTGCTGCATGGTTTTCTACCACCCCAAACCCATAGATATCTCTGAGAAAGTTCTGAAAGCAAAAGTGGTTTAGTTTTTCTCTCCATGCTATAGGAGATTATATTAAATTTTTGGCAATGTTTACATGAAGATATCCAATGCCAAATTTTACTTTAACAATTGATATTACAAATTTGGATTAAAAATACAAACACACAGAGAATTACATTACAAACAACACCCCTGCCATCCTGAGAATGGATAGCGGCTTTATCTCGTAAGGGAACAGCAGCATGGGTTCCAGCTTTTCCAGCGTTTTAAAGGGTTCCAAATTTTTTTCTCATATATTCATTTATAAAAAGAAAAATTAAAACAAAACCAAACACAGTTTACTTTTTAAATTTCTACTGTCCCTTAAATATAAAAGTAGCATAAAATGAAATTGGGTCTTCAGGACAGATTTTTATGAGAAAAAAATACATAGAAAATCGATGTTGTAATGAAAGCATGTTTTACAGTCTCTCTCAATGCACGATGTAGTTATCATGTCCATAAAATAAAAGCCTATAAAAAAAAATCTCTTTGCAGTATTGCATAGCAAAATATTTTTCTCCTGCAGAAGTATTCCCATGCAAGTAATATAGCATTGGTAGTGAAGAAGTGGGAACAAATTCCTAGTATCAACTGGTTAGCCGTAATGGAAAAATTGTACAGGCTACATCATTCCTCATTTTACCTATTTCCTGTGCTGTAAAATGCCTTCTTTTAGAGGGATTTTATGTGTAAAAATGAGGGAACATATTCTGGCTCCATTGAGCAAGTTCATCCCATAGAACATTAAAGTGTGTTCTGTAAGATGTTAATAAATGTACATTATATAAATGTTTTCATAGTTGTATCAAATGTGGGGAAAACTGAGGTCAACGAAGTTAGAGAGGCATATTTATTTTCCTTGTACGACTTGTCAGACCCTCTAATAAGCTGATAACATTATACAAGTTTAAAAAAATACACGGTATTCAGTGTTTCATAACCCTTTCCTTGTAGCACCTTCTGTAATAGTGTTCTACATTATTACTGCATTCTGCACTTCGGACAAAGCCAATTGGTATAAAGCTTTCATAAATCTGTAGAAAAATCAGCTCCTGGAAGTTTACTTTATGCTAACAGAAATTAGAACTTTAAAAGACAAACACAAAATTTTTGAATCAAGTATGTTTAGGAAGACCAATAGAACACAATGAAGCACAACAGACTTATCAATGACTCATATCACAAGAGACCAAAATCTATTTATGGTGGGTGAGGAGGTCATATGTGAAGTTGGGGAAGGCAGGGAACAATTCGCAACTTCTGTGATTCTTGGATTTAAATCTGGCTTTGACTTCTTTCTGATCCAGACAGCAAGCAAACCAAAACCCCACGCAGAGACCTCTTGGCATTTCTTCTCCCTGTTTCTTGCCCTATCACGCTGATAAGCGCTGTACCTACCGATTCGGATAATGTGCACAGTGATATAGATGTCCTTTCTTAGCTCGCTGCTACCCAAATCCTGCCAAAAAACAAAGTCTGGTTATTTTAGAATTCATAAGCAGCACTTAAAAGGCATAGAATATTATTTTCACAAATAAAAGAAGAAAGATGGAGATGAATATAGACATTCTTAATGAAATGTTTGCAGCAGAAGCCAATGATTCAAATACTGTTGTAAAAATACCACTAAAATCAACTTTAGGTCTACTTACGCCAAGAAATACTTAAAAAAAAAAAACTATTGTTGATTCAATTTCTTACTCACCCATTCTTTAAACATTTATTAAGCATATATCACACACTAAACCCTATCACTACTTTGTAGTACTTTGGTAATAGTATATCAGGATTAATAATACTCTAAAGCTGTGGCCCCCAAGTCCCCGGTACCAGGCCGTGGCCTGTTAGGACGGGGTTGCTGAGCCCCATGCCACTCCCACCCCCACCCCCAACCCCTGCCCTGTCTGTGGAAAAACTGTCTTCCATGAAACTGGGGACGGCGGGGAGGGGAGCAGCAGGAGGTGAGTGGTGGCAGCTTCTCTGCTACCTGTCACTCATATCACCTCCTGAGCTCCTTCTCCCCCCCACCGCCTGAGGAAAAGTTGTCTTCCATGAAACTGGTCCCTGGTATCAAAAAGGTTGGGGACCACTGGTCTAAAGGAATTAAAGTAGCCATGAATGGTGGTATTCAGAATTCTGGGCACTAATGTAATTTTGTGTTATTTATATGAAGTTTAAGCAAATTCACCATATTCTCTCACAATAATCTATTGCTCCTAAATAATATAAACCATAATGAGATGAATCTGCCACACAAAGAAAACAAGATCTACTCACCACGAAGAGAGAACAATGACGTTCTGGTTTATCTGGGGCTTTAGGAAGCCCATTTCTATTCAGCCTCAAGAAAAATCTCTCGCTACAAGAGAAAAAAAGTTTATCAATTTGAAAATTATTTAATGTTTAGAGATTTATCACTTTTCTTACTACTCTTCATCCTAATAGGTAAGCTCAACATTTAATAGGTCATTCATTTAACAGCAAAATTGCATATATTAATTAGGAGAGCTCCAATGACAACAAACATTTGCCTCACTTCTGATAAAACTGGCAAAGCAGCAACTGTAAAATCAGAAGACAAATATACATGCAAACAAAAATTAACTTTTGAAAGAATAGGTTTTCATATCAGTAACATCACTGTTATTAATCCAAAAAGTAGAAACAAATGTACTAAATGAGAAAATACAACCTAACATGCTTCCTGTATTTGTATCTAAGTAGATTTTTTTTCATGGTTTATGTCACATTATTTAATTAACATTAAGGACATTATTCTGAGTGTTATCCATTAGAAGGCTCACATTTTATATTCTTACAAGTCTATAATCCAAAACACAAATAGAGGTTCCAAGAAATGAAAGCTGAATTTTATTTGGTCTCCAAAGGAACAGAAGATCTCTAACTCCTCACCAAACTTGCATTTGAAAATACAGTGCCACCCAGATTTAATGCAAACACAAATGATGCTGTTGCTCAGTCACTAATTCAAGGCAATACATACTTGTGGACACTATTTATGCTCAAAAAATAAAATAAAATGAATACTCACCCAAGAAAAATTAATCTACCAGCTACCACGAGCTTCCAATCCTAATTGAATTTCAATATCCTAGTGCCCATGATAGAATCAACTGTCTGTCTGCCTCAGGCTGAGACCATACAACCACCATCCACAGAATGTGAAATCATCACATGATATGGCCTTGGTCAGTATAGCTTCAGCCCAAGGACCAACCAGGAAAACAGACGTTAGTAAAAGGCTCGGAACCTACCAATTCTCTCCGTGATTCATCACTAGATCCTTGCCTTAAATAATGGCTCTGTCATCCAAATATATACAAGGGGAGAAATGAGAACCATAAACACATCTCTGAGGAAGCATATGGATTTGAATTGATGGCTGTTTCGGAATACTTTTATTCTCTTTTGTGATCTAAACCTAGATAGATATGTTTAACAGATTCAACTTCC